TTCAGTGAGAATGAAGTGATTTGTCCCCTCAGACCTTACCCCCAGCTCCTGGGCTATGGTCTGCCAGTCCAGGTAGTTGTGTTTAGCAGCGATCCGCTTCAGCCTCTCTATTTCCTCCTCAGTCCACTCCTTTTTGTTGATGCTCGGATGCTCCCAGTTTTCCCAGAACTTCTTCAGTTCTTCTGCACTACGTTGCCCATCAAACTAAAAGAAACAACAAAAATCTGTTTCATCTTAAAGCTGGGACTGAAACAGCAGGACAGACAGGAACACCAATATTTAGCATTCCAGATATCTTATTGCCAGGTTTTAAACCATCAGATTTAACAATCTGAGATCAAATCAGCAGTCAACTTGGAGAAATGCACGATGGAAACAGTGGATGCAAACCAAGCCAGAGGGTTTTCAAGAGAAGGGACACAGATATCAGAAGCCATAAGACAGCTGATCCCCCAACTTACATGGATGTTTGAGATTTTCTCCCAGTCGTGCTCATCGAATCTGTTTCCTAACAAGTCACTTTCTGGCAGTTGGCTACAGCAGAAGGTACAAAGAACAAGAAAGAACCATGTTAAATGGTTAATTAAACACTTTGTCTTCTTGATCCTGCTTCATCTTTTTCCTCCCACCTGTTCCTGACTTCCACAAGAACTGAACACTTGGTTTAGCAGGAGAAACAATTAATGTAATATCCAAATATGTTGCTCTAGACACGTTCATGAGCAAAAGCTCAAAGGTATTAAACATTTCAGAACTCTCTGCTCCTTTGTTGCTAAACCAAGAGCTATCTAAAGCAGCACCTCTACAATGGATATAGATACTACATTTTGTGTATCAAGGTCCAAAACAAAATTTTTGGTAAAGATCTGTGGGGATGAAGGAGCTGCTCAACAGCACTTCATTTTTTACAAGCCAACACAAAAATAAGCATTTCTCCAAACATCACATCTAGAAGTAGAAGAAGAGAACTGTAAAAGCTAAATTCCAAGAAGAGACATTTATTTTTCACCAAGAACATAAAAAGACTTACTTAATTGCTTCTATTTCTCGCTCTACTTCTTTGATTTGCTTTTCCAAGGTCTGTTTCTCCGTTTCAGTCTTGACCTTCTCCAGTTTCTGATTCCAATAACTCATCCTGTTCAAAGACATTTTTATCATTACTTAATAGGACTAGATGGGAATGAGGTCAATGGTATAAGAAGACATTCAGCAGAGACAGTTTCTCCATCAGTATCATTCCTTCCTTCAGTTTATTTCCACATTGCTGTTCTCCCAGGTCTTCCCACATGGCACACTCATTGTCCTACTTTTACTCCTTCAATACAGTCACTGACCCAGAACATGTCTCAGATTAACCATTTTAGTATTTACAGGGGGAACCAAAGGTTGTTACAACAGCAAGAAAGACTGCTGTTGTACCAGCTCCAGCACAGAAATCTCCCTCTGGACACACCATTATGACTCACTACATGTCACAATTCCAGCTTCAAGCCCTGCAGACTATTTTAAATTATGTGTCAATGGGAAGAAATAGATGGCTATAAAATCACACAAACACAAACAGTTAACACAGGAACTTGCTGAAGCAGGTGGAATCTCCACATCTACCTTCTCCTTCTTTCACATGTCACATTCTCAGGAGAAAGGAGGGGTTTTGTCAGTACTCACTTCAGGAGCTTTGGCTGGAGCAGGCGTTGCAAGCGGTCGCTCACCACTGATTTCTGCAACAGCGTCTTCTCCCTGCTCTTCCCTGAACCAAACAGTGGAGCAGTCAGACATCAGTGCAGAACCACTGCCAAGGGAAACCCACTGCTTCCAAGACCCCTGGAAACATCCCCCAGGTCTGCAGTAGGAGTTCCCTGCCTACATCACTGATGTCACACCTGACTTGGGCAAATCACAGCCCCTCACTCAGTTTTATCTCCAACAAAACTTCAGTCAAGATCATCATCAAGGTGTCTGTGACCACCTAGAGCTGGAGGTGCCCCTTGAACTTCTCTCTACCCTTGCACCATGGTTTTGGAGTGCTCACAGGAGTTGATGCATCAAAACAAATGCAAATAAGTCACTAATCACTCAATAAAACAATTTACAGAGCATCCCATTCTCTTTTAATTATGTTTTTTGTGGAGTCAAGTTTGCAACATCACAAATGTTGATGTTTAACTGCAAATGGCACACACAGACTAACAATATGAATATATACATTTGTTATAGCTCTTCTAGAACACTGAACAGCTCACAGAGTTACTTACACTTTGCTGAATGCAGTTGTTCAAAGGATTTTATGCCCTGAGCTGCCTTTTCCTTGGCATCTTCATTGGAAGGAGGGCCCTGGTGAGGATTAGAAGGATTAGATACACTGGAAGAGTCAGACATGCAGAAAAGTTATTCTTTCTCCCTAGAACTGGAGCATGAACTGCTACAAAAACAGTTACAATGCAAATCTATCACTAAAGACACAGCTACAGTTACTTACAATTCCTGTGGTTTTATCCTTAAAGTAAGGCTTCATAAAATGACCCAAAAATACATTTGCTGGTAGACTTCTGCCATCTCCTGCCTTGGCTGTTTTTGAACCATCGAGCTCACCCATGATTTCCTTCTGCAAGACAAGAGTTAATTAAACAGCGTCAGTGTCTCCCTCAAACTCCTGATTTCAGAGAGCAGTGGCTGAGCCACCACAAACATCCCAGGCAGGGTTCAAGTTTGCAGCACCAGACTGTAAATCAGTGAATGTTAAAAGGCAGGATTTGGAACTTCCTGACTTTGTACAGTGCAATGCAGGTGATTCAAGCATTAATAAAACACTAATTTGCCACAGCAAGCTAAAGTGTAAGATGGTTTGAACTGCCAGGAAGAAAATGCACCCGATTCCTGGCCAAGCCAGCTGAGCACTGCACCAGCACATGGATATGGGACTGTGACTGCTCCAGCTGATTCCTTTGGCACCTGTGATGCACTAGGAATATCCTGGGAAGTCTTTCTAGGCTTTAGGGGAGGTGAAGATGGCAAATGGCAACCCAGAAAAGCACAGAAATGAACATTTCTGTCCTGTGCTGCTCACCTGCTGCTCTCTGTTTTGTGCAATGAGCAGCTCTACTTCCTCAATCTTTTCCTGGATAACCTCCTGGTACACATGGTTCATCTGCAGGCACGTTTCTGGATCCTGTGGCAGGCTCTCAATATCATCATCACTGCTGTCTTCTTCTCTTTCCATTTCCTTGAGGCATTTAAGGGGAAAAGGGAAAGAAATACTTGCTTTAAAGGCAGCTATGTAACATAATTAATTTTCTAATTTGACACCTGTTTGACCCACAGCCTGTGGTGTTTCCAGGGACAGGGATTAGCAGCACCAGAGCAGTGAGGCCTCTGCCCCCTGTCACTTGTGGTCACTTGAAGAAATCTATGTATTACACTGAATAACAAAATCCTGGACAGGAATCTCCAAACTCCAGGGCTGGTATTAACCCTTCCTGAGCACAGAGCCAAGGCAGCTGCCCAGATTTCCCCATTTTCCCTTCAATAGACAGATGGAAAGATATGTTTAAAGAGAAAATATTTACCATTTCACCATGAGAATCTTCATTATCATCATCATCATCATCATCATCTTCATCATCATCTGTCGGACAACAAAAATACAAGAGTGCTGACTGTAGTGGGATAAAAGGAAAGCTTCAAACCCCAAACTTTTCAATTAAGGCAGACAGAATAAAGCATCACAGAGAACCCACACATGGTAATTAGTGACTTTGGATACTGGCAACATTGTGAAGTAAAGTTGTATTTAGTTACGCTCCACATCTGCATTTTTTTCGTTCTAGAGTAGGAAAAAAGAACAGCTCTGGATAACTAGGGTAGGATAACTAAAGCAATAATCCAGCTACATCCTGGTCCTGCACACTGTGGTAAATGAGAGGCCAAAGGGTGAGCAGCCAAATGAACATTCTAAACCAACAGAAACACAAACTCTGAGAGCACCAACAGGCCCTCAGCAACACCTGGGTTTGCACCCAGTGGTACCCACTCCTGACAGACTTGCACCACCAAAACAGAGATGGATAAAGCCGCTACGGACAGAGATGCTCGAGCTGTTACCACCTCCTATTTGCTTTGGAAAACGAACTTTAGGCGGCGCGGGCGGGCTGTGGGATGGAGCGGCTCACACAGGGTGTGTGATGCCCGTTCTGACGCTATAGTTTCACTCCGGGAAGTATTTTTGGGCTGTTTGGTGTCGTGAGCCCGCCCGTCCCCAGTGACCAGAACCGACCAGACCCCTCCGTCAGGGAGCT